AGATCCGCCTGGCTCTGCCTCCCGAGTGCTGGGATTAAAGGCGTGCACCACCACCGCCCGGCCTGTGGAAGCATTTTATTTTATTGAGACAAGCTTTTACTTTGTAGCCCTGACTGACCTGAAACTTGCTCTGTATACCAGATTGGCTTCAAACTCAAAGCGAGCTGCCTGCCTCTGCCTCTGGGTGCTAGGATTAAGATGTGTGCCACCACACTCAGCCTTTTAAAGACTGAAATCCTCCAGTTCCTCCTTAGGTTGTCTATATCAGAACTTCTGTCACAGTGATGCAGAAGTAACAAACAGAGACGAGAGGGGACTGGAAAGAAGACTCAGTCTCCAAGTCGCAGGCCTGACCATCTGAGTCGATTCCTGGAATCCATATGGTGGAAAGTGTAGCAGGCTTTCTTGGACTGCCTGCCCCCAAATCACAACACAGAGACTTATTACTAATTATGAAAGCTTGGCCTTAGGTTTGTTTCTAACTAGCTCTTATAACTTAAATTAACTCATCTCTATTAATGACATGCTGCCACAGGGCTTGTGGTTTTTATCTCTCCTGTATGTCCTGCTTCCTCTCGTCTCCTCTGGCATCTCTCTCCTGCGCACAGATTTATCTCTTCTTTTTCTCTCTCTGCCTGGAAGCCCTGCCTAACCTCCTCCTGCCTATCTATTGGCTATTCAGTTCTTTATTAAACCAATCAGAAAGTACCTTGGCAAAGCCACATCTTCACAGTGTACAAAAAGGTTATCCTACAACAGTAAGGAGAGAGCCAACTTCCAAAAGTTGGCCTCTGACCTCTACACTCATGCTGTGACACACACATATGCTTGTGTCCCCCAAGAATGTATTTAAATTCTTAAAAAAAAAAAAAAAGGAGTGCCGGGTGGTGGTGGCGCATGCCTTTAATCCCAGCACTCGGGAGGCAGAGCCAGGTGGATCTCTGTGAGTTCGAGGCCAGCCCGGGCTACCAAGTGAGCTCCAGGAAAGGCGCAAAGCTACGCAGAGAAACCCTGTCTCAAAAAACCAAATAAATAAATAAATAAATAAATAAATAAATAAATAAATAAATAAATAAATAAATAAAAATTAAATTAAATTTAAAAAAGGATGAGGGGCTGGAGAGATGCTGTGCTGCTTAGTTTTACATCAACTTGACATAAGCTAGGTCATCAGAGTGGAAGGAACCTCAGTTGAGAAAATGCCTCCATAAGACCTGCTGTAGGCTAGCCTGTAGGGCATTTTCTTAATTAGTGGTCAATGGGGGAGGGCCCAGCCCATTGTGTGTGGGGCCTTTCCTGGGCAGGTGGTCCTGGGTTCTACAAGAAAGACAGCTGAGCAAGCTGTGGGGAACAAGCCAGTGAGCAGCTCCCCTCCATGGCCTCTGCATCAGCTCCTGCTTGAGTTCCTGTCCTGACTTCCTTAGATGGTGAACAGCAATATGGAAGTGTAAGCCAAATAAGGCCTTTCCTCCTCAAATTTGCTTTTGGTCATGGTCTGTTTGCTAGTCTCTCTCTCTCTCTCTCTCTCTCTCTCTCTCTCTCTCTCTCTCTCTCTC